CAAATACTACCTGTAATAATTTTGATTTTTGCATTACATGGAATTTCATCCTATGGTTTTTTTCAGGCCAAGCAGATGCAGAGTCAGCTTTAATGATGCCGGGGTGATTAGATATTTGTGCTCGTATTGTAAAACGGAGTGGGGCTGGATACGCGTTCCCATATGGTATAGAGGGTGGCCATATTGGATATGGATCCGCGCACCTGTCGGGTGTTGCTGCGACGTAAGGAATCAGCGGTGGTGCTAATGCACACGTGACGTCACGTCACGTAGTCTGAGATGATCAGAAGATAATGTTATCAATAGAATTACAATATCCCGATAATTTGTTTTTTTTTCTATGGATAGGTTATAATCGGTCTGTTTGTTTGTTAAAAAAATATATATTTTTCTAAAACTTCACAAATTTTGATAGAATTCTAAGTATAGACAGTCATTAAGTAGGAAAAATGGTCAGAATTTCATTTAAAAAAATTATTCTTTAGCGGTCCGTCGTCAATCCTGTCTTAACGACTATTAGAAATTTGAGCATATGAAAAGTTATAAGTCGAAAAGACCTGTCTATATTTTATTCTTATATAATTAGTTCCCTTTTATTCTTCTGTAAAATGTCAAGGAATAAATTTTGACGGCACATATAGTGTTCTTTACATAATGAGTCAGTCTGATGTGTATCATCTTGAAAAAATACCCAGAAATATTTGCCTCAATAAGAAGATATTCTAATATATTCCAATTTTGTTTTCATTTTGATGTTAATGAAGGTCAGAACATAATGAGATGAAAATGTAATCGGTAAAAAAATACTGGATAGATAGAACTTGACATCATAAGAACTGCAACCTGGTGTTCAGACCAGTAAATTTTAACATTAATAAAAATGAAAATTTATTCGATCAGAGTCGCGGGCTTGGGCACGCGACTCGTAATAAGTTTCAATAGAAGCTTATATCTCTTATGTACATAAATGACAAGTTCTTCTTCGCACAGTAGGCCTTATGTGTGCATTCCGAATGACACAAAGACAAATTGCAAAGCAACATTTTATGACTTTGCTACATCCGGGCTTCCGTCCATGCCGAACATTCCCGCAACGATTCTGCAAAAACACACATTGAGCACGTTTTGTGCTTTTAAAACTTTCGGTGTCGGGTAACAATGGGTCAGATAAAATGGGTCGGATAAAACTATGGCAAATAAAACTGGGTGACGTTGCAGAGAAAAACAATATGGAAATAAACGAAAGTGCCCTTGTTGCTGGTGGGTAAAAACTAATTTTTATGCGTGAAAGATGCTTTAAGAGACCATAATCGTATTGATGGCATAGATATTTCCGCTGCCAAGCCAACTTATGTAACGGCACACACTCGGCAATTTTCGTAAAAGTAACGATTTTAGACATTTTCAGTGGGACGTCACAAAACAATGGCCTACTTTTAAAAAAATCAATATACTGTTATTTGTTACTACGATCAAAAGGTACATTGTTTAATTACCTTATCTAGATTCAGTAGTATACATTGTAAGGGCACCAGTGTTGCTGTGCAGGTTCCCTGCAAACCTTAAAGGCCTACTGTGCTCTAGGAACTCATAGCGTTCACTGCTTTTTTTACAGTATAAAAACTATAAATCGACGTCAAAAAATTGTTCTTTTTAAGTTTTAGAGAGAAAAGATGAGATTTAGATGAGAAAATTCTGATTGGTCAGTTTCTAGTGACGTAACCTGGGTAGTAGCTTCCCACAGCTGTACTAGTAATAGTATATACTATGCAGTAGGTAACNAT